GTTTTCAAAGAAATATATTAAAGGCGAGCATGGGATATTGAGCTGTTTTAGGATTTCCAGCTCGATATATATAAAAATTTTAATTAAGCCAGCCTGGCATTTTGACCATTTGTCATACTGGCACCTTGATGGCACCGTGACAGCCTGGCAAATGATCGTCAAAGGGACTAACTATAATTATCAAAACAAGATTTCGGCCGGAATTACATTCAATCGTAACATAATCTCCCCTAACAATAAGGAAGATTTTCACAGGACTGTCAAACATTTTGACGATTGTTCAAAAAAAAGAAATCATGCATTCTCGCTATATTCTGGTTATTTTTTATCTATTTTTTTTGAACCTTTACAAGCTGTCCTGATAAGGTGAAGACGACAATATACCTTGCTCCGAATAATTAAGTTTTACGATATATTAAATGTTTCTGATTTTATTTAATGTATTTAGTATTCTATAAATGGTAAATTAGTTCTATTGATAATTCTATCAACTCGAATAAAATGATTTATATAAAATTCTAAATAATCAAATAAAGGTCAAATAAAAATAAAAATATAGAGGAATAGTGTTGTATTCAGTTCTTTCGTTTGTGGATTTATAACAGTTTATATTTGTAAGCAGACGATTTAATTTAAAAAAAATTAAGTAATTGAGACGATAAATTTATTTAATAATCAGTGTTGCTTCAACATCGGCTCCGCAATGTCAATATATTAAACTAAATAAATGCTAATTACTAACTACGCAAATACAACAATATAAAATAAATAAGAAATCGGGGTTTAAAAATAAATGAATTTATAATGTTAAAAGCGATAATATGCAAAGGAAGAAAGTGAGGGTTTAAGATGTATGTATGCAATGTAAGAAGGCGGACCGTGGTATGTTGAGTTGTTTAAAAATTTCCAACTCATATATATTTTATAAAAAAAAAAATAATAATCAATAGACTATTCAAAAATGATCAAGGAATAGCTACAATTATCGAAAACAATTTACAAACGAGAATCGTGATATTTCGGGCGGAATATATTAGATGTAACAATAACATTATTCGTTGTCAATTAAAGCATTTGCGCAGCCTAGAATATCTTTAAATTCATCTATAACACTAACTACAATGGAATATTCATCAGGTAGTTGGGATGGTGCCAACAAATTTCCTATAATTGTAGTAAATTGAGTTCCACCTTTAATTGGACACCCTGCTCCGCCACAAATCGAATTAATACTTGGTTCGCCTATGAAATTGTTAGTTTCAGAATCAACAAATTGAGCAATAAGTTGGGTTGATTCAAAGATAGGTTCAATTAACATTCCGGTAACAACAAGAGTATTGGTTTGTCCGGGGACGATAGTATTAGAAGCAACTTCTACGGAGATTATGGGTGGTGGATTTTTCCCTTTAAGAGGGGTGCATGAACCAAATGAAAAAGACCTTTTTTGAAGTCGATGTGGAATTGCATTGACCATGGAAAGCGTAGCTAATAAAATGAATACAAGAATAAAATTCAAATTTTGTTTCATGATTATTATTTCTTTGACAATATTTTTTTATATTAATTGAGAGTTTTTTTTGTGAATGTAGTTATTAATTTCTCGAATTCAGAGTTTATTGAAAGCTGAGGCTTTTTATAAGGAGAAAAAAGGTCCTAACTCCAAATATTCAATTTTTAATATTACATGAATTTGATTCTAAAAATTATAGATATACAAACTTGCATTACCATATGTGGTGACAATCACCCTTTTTCAAAGTTTTCAAAATGATTTTCGTCACAATTAATTTAGATATTAGACTGTCCCTTTCATTCGTATTTCGAAATTGCCTGAAGTGTGGTACAGTCGATCCCCTATATAGTCACACCCGAAAAACATGATGTGATTATAAAAATACTATATGATGTGACTAAAGAAAGGGTATTTTTTTTAATAGTTTATTAGTAACTTGGGCCAATGTAAGTGTTTAAGTGTGCTTATAAAGGGGAATGTGACTATAACTATATATGGTTGACTATAGAAAGGGTCGACAGTATTTATTGTTTTTAATATTTTTTATTTTAATTTGGATCGCAGCGATCGAATATCACCTTACGGGATAAGAAATTGATTTTGAGTATCAAACAAAATGCTACTCCACAGGAAACATTTCTAAATTGTTCTAAATTAAATATTAATTAAAAAGTCGATAATTAAAATTATCCTAAGGGACATTGTTACACTAATTTTATTAGAAATTTAATTTTGAAATTTAAATACCGAATAATTTCGATATCCGAAATCATTTCGATATTCAAATATTAATAATATATTTTCGAATATTTGAATTTAATTCATTTACAAACGAATATTCGAATATACTGTTTTCAAACGGAAACCCTAATCATTCCTAAATTGTAATTGTAGATTTTTTGACTGATGTTACACAGAAAGAAATTTTGACGGCCTAATTGCTTGCATTTTTAATAATACTATAAAAATTTAAACAAATAAAATTCATATATGAATCAAAGATCTCATTTGGTTGAAGGGTCCCGTAACCTGATTTTAATAGCTTAGCTCCCATATTTCCGCCCTTTATATTTTCTGTTGAACAAATAAGAAATCAGCAATGTAATGAAAACGATGATAGTGGATCTTTGAATTATATCTCAGGCCTCACTCCCTAATTACCAAATAAAATTTTCAGATCGGTCAATATATTATTGTTTGAAGAAAAAAACACATTCTCGATATGTTCGGTATAAATTTTTTTTTTTTTTTTTTGAATTATTTCGCCATAAATACAGTAAATGCAAATGATTTTAGTTCAGCAACGGCAGTGCCGGACATCTATATATTTTATTAACTTTTTTTTGAACTTGGAAATTTACTAATTTGTTATTTATATATTAAAGCTTACTAAGAAACATCAAGTGTTACTATAAATGAATTTTAATATTTTAGTATGGTAGATAAATTCTGTCAATAAATTCCATAAATAACAAATTAACGGTTCAACACTAATATTAATGATATAACACATAAACTTAAAATAAAGATAAAAACAAAGTACGGGAAGTGAATACCTTTAGGTGAAGCATCATCAAGCAATTGCACAGCCTAGAACTGAATCAGATGTTTTCTACAATACCAACTACAATGGCGTATGGAATATTCGCTTTTGTAGTAAATGTAATCGACCCAGTATATATCGTTAAAAGCTGTATCTTTGTTTCTGCATCTACACAATGAAAGCATTTTGAACGACGGGATCGAAAGAAAATATTACAGCGATTAGGGTTGGTGATGTAGTGAACCTTTTAGAATGAGGGACATGTACCGAAAAAGTAGTTCTTTATTGAAGTTTATGTAAAATTACATTGACCATGGAAAGCGTAACGAATAAATAATAAAAATTCAGTTCATGTTTATTATCTCCTTGCAAAAGGAATATAATTGAGAAATTCTTTGTGAATACAATTATTAAGTTCTTGGATTCAGAGTAAAATCAGTTTCTAAATCACAATTTAATACTTCAAGCAATTGATTCTAAAATTATTGATATTCACATTTCCAAAAATGATTTCGATATTATGTTTTAACATTACTTTCGAATATTATATTTAAACTCCAACGAAATCTTGATTAGAAATAATACCTATTGTGATTCATAATAATGTGGCACATGTTGTAGACTGTAATGAAGTAATAAAAAGAGAATTTTTTACACATCTAACTGAAAGTAAAGTAGTATGATAATATTTTTGTAAAAAAAAATATTAACTTTGAGCGTTAAATTATAGTGCTCAATCATCCGAATTATGCATGCACACGATAAATATCACGTGATTCTCTTGTTTACTGTTCCCCATCCCTATGCTTTTTATGCTATTATAAGCTTATTCAGTCAATAATATTTATATTCTTAGCTTTTTTTGGAAAAAAGAATCTCTTCCGAAAATAGTATCCTAGCCTAACATAAGTCTGGTTAGATTGAGAATAAAATTCGTCGATCAAGATATTGATCCAAAAAAAAAGTCTAGCGTCTTTTAGGTTCGGATCGTATTATGCAGGGCAGGTATCAGGTGAGTTGTTTGTTTTTTAGTTTCGGGTTCGATCGTTTCAAAGCACAATGATCTAACAATTTCGATGGTTTGTTTTTTTAAATTCTTGCCCCAAATTCCTCTTCAGATCAGATAGATTGCGCAGACATCAGATGAGTCAGTTTTTTTTTTGGTATTTTTTTTTAGTCTCAGGTTATATCATTTCAAATGATTTCGATTCCTTTCCGGGTCTTTGTTTCTTGAGGATTCCATAAACAGTTTTTTTTCGATTCTTTCATTTAATTATTTTTTTATCTTTTTTAGGCGATTTCTTCTGTAATACGCCGTTGGAGAGAGTCGACTTTTCAAATGAGATTCTGAAATGATCAGTGATATTAAATTAAGTATTTTAATATTTTTGTTTAAATAAAAAGTTTTTTTAATAATATAATTATGGACGTTAATTTCAAGTGGCTCGATCGACGATTAAGTCAACTATCAAATGTTATCAAAAATAAACATTGAACAGAAGTCGAACAATTGCAACTTTATTAAATAAAATTTGGTTATTAAGCAAATCCTTTCGATAAATAATTCACTAACAATCAAATTCAACAATAATATAACAATGATATATAAAATTATATAAAATCTCATAAAATTATTAAAAAGAAGAAATCTGTATGGCCAAAGTGCAGCCTAGAATAGTTTTAATTTGATATAAACTATAGGGTCTTACGGATTAGTTAGTTTGTATTGCAGAACATCATAAATTCGATAGATGTGAGTACTTTTACAGGAACCACCAACTCTGTGTCATTGTGTCACCCTAGAAATGTGTGAGTATTTCAATTTCAAGAGAGACGCTTATCCTATATTCCTACTATGTATTTATATCCTCCTGGTGCGAAGCATCGACCATATAGAGTAATTATTATATATAATGTGAAAGTACGAATAACAGAATTGTAGGAAAAACGAACAAAGTATTAATTTTGCACTTTTATCTAACTCGCCATGTGATTTCGTTAATAATATCTACATATTATTAATAAGAAGGAAATAAAAGTCAGTATTGCTCTTAATGGACAAACTATTTCCCTTGAAGTTTATTATCATTGTTTTATTGATACGATATACTGTATGGGAGTTTGCTATTAAAATCATGTTACGGATCATTTGACCCGATTTGACGCTTGCTCTTCGATACTGCCTAAAAATAAATAAAAGGCGGTTTTATTTGTAAATTACTTATCAAATTTGGCGCTGCGCCCTGAGACCCATTTATTTTATTACTTTTTAATTTTAATTTTATTATTTTTTTTTTTTATTTTTTATAAACAAAAAGGAAAAAAAAAAAAATATTCTTTATTTGGCATATAATGCGACTTTTGTCGATCATTTGTCGGTCATTATTTACCTTTCTTTTCGGAGGAAAACTGATACTTCATTCAATATAAGCATAAGAAAAAGCACATGCACATTCTATAAGAACGTCGAATTTGTTGGTTTAATCAGGCAAAAAGTAAAAGTCAAATCTTCAACGTATAAGGTTAAGCAAAACGGTACAAGCTTTACAACACTATGTTAAATAACCTTATCTAGTATCTCCAAAGTTAATGTTGAATTCTCATTAAAAATTTATGAATACAAATATTGACATTTCCTTATTATGTATTATTTTAAAATATTACATAAAATATTCAATACTAAATTATTGAAAATGTTCGATTTTAATTATTTTTATGTAACAACAAAATTTTTTTGTGTAACAATATTTCGAGTCGGGTTATCATTTAATAAAATTCGTTCGGATCAGTCTGATTTTTTTTTCGTTTTACGTTCGATAGTTAAATTTATTTAAGTAATATAAAAAAATAGAATGAATTATAATATATGAGTGATTAAACATTAAATAATACCTTTTTTTATTAATAAAGCAACAAGTTCCAGTAGGACGGGCTTTTTCTGGCAGAACTTGTCTAATATCAACCAAAAGATGCGATCTTAAAGTTAATACAATTCGTTATGTGTTTGAAAATTTGGTGGAAAAGATGTAAAAAAAATAATTAAGATTTATTCACAACAAATAATAATATTTTTTTTAAATTAACTATGACACTTTTTATAATCTGTATATAAATAAAATGATTATTTTTTAATAGTTTATTTTCGACATAATATTACCCTTGAAAATTCGAGTCGAATCCAGGTTAAACAATAATCGGGTCAAGTCGATAGGGTCGAGTCGAATTCAGGTTCTGTAATTATTAACGGGTTCGAGTTTGAATATGCTTCAAATTTACCCTTATGGAGCACTACACATGATATATATTATTTAAAACTTTCAAATTTGGTTCATTAATTCATATCTAATCTCAAAACCCATTTTCCAACATTTTACTCAAGCTAAATAAAATTTCTAATGAAAAAGAATTATAGGCAGAAAGCTCTAAACAGGATATATTACAATATTTCGAGACAAAAAAAAAAAAAAAAAAAATACATATAAATTAACCTTGAATTGCTTGATTAAATTGTTCCACACTATCTTAAGTTAGTCTTAGTTTATCCCAATAAAATAAAAATCTAATTATCTCATATGTAAATCTCACAACGTAATTAACAATGTGATAGACATAATTTATTACGATTGAAAATTTTACCTGTTACAATCCTTTTAATCCTTTTGTGTAGGCTCTAAGGAATATGGGATACTTCTGAATCAGATGATATATGTTCGTATATTTCATAGATAATACTGAATAATAAACTTGTAATGCTTGTAAATAGTGTCGATATTAATAACGTATCTAATCCTACATTCTCGATATATAGTATCTAATTCCAAGATAAAAATTAGAGAGAAAATCAATTATTTTGGATATATTTTGAATTTCCCACAATATCTCATATTACGATATATACTTACAATAATAACAAGTTGTGACATTTTTTTAATACTATTGAATATTCCGGCCACGAGTATCCATTTTCTCACTTCAGGATTAAATAAAGTAATATCTACGAGTAATTTCATAATCATTATATCTACCATTGATAATATAGTGATTAT